AAGTTTATTTATTAATATTATTATTATTTTTTACATTCTATGATGTTGTTGCTGAGCAGTTGCGGGGATGGGGAGAGGGGAAAGGGGAAGGAAATAGGGTGGCAGAAGAGGGAAGGAGGAGGGGTGAGGTTGAGGCATGTGGCACCCCCCCTCTTTCCTGCAGGGAAACCAGGGGGCTTCCAGTGGTGGCTTGGCCATTGCTGGGCCGGGTGCAGATGTCAGAGGGGTGTGGCTAAAGCCTTCATCCCACCACCACCCCAGCTTGGGAGCCCAGGACACTTCCTGCGGTGGCTGGGTAGTCATCACTGGGCTGGTTGCAAGTGTTGGCGGGGCATGGCTGAGGCCCTCAGCCCCCCACCACCTCAGCTCGGGAGAGCCTGGGATGCTTCATGTGGCAAGCCAAACATCTTCTGTTTCCATCCCACCTCTAGCTACTTGTGTGACCTTGGGCTGGTTATTTCCCTTCCCCAAGCTGGTTTGTCACCTGTTAAACTGGGAGAGCATTACTTTCTTTATAAGGCCATTGAGGGGAATAAACGAGATCGTGTCAGGTATCTGAAACTCAGTGCCTAGCACGTAGAGACACTGCATAGACAGCTATTGCTGTTGCTGCTCTATTATAAACGCCAGGTGGGCCATCTCTGGTGTTTAATATCCTTGCCTACCGTCTAAGCCATCTGTGTCTTNCCACAGATAGCCTGCTGGCTCGCAGGCTGGAGGTCTGGCTCTGGCTCAGAGCCGGCTCTTTAGCTCCCTGAGGCTCCTCCTGGTGGGCGGAAAGCCAGTGTGGAATTGTCATGTGCTGACGTTAGCAGCAATGCCTGTTAGTCCTCTCTCTTCATAATTTACAAAGCTCTTTGTAATGCATTATATAATTTGATTTCATTTCCTATGACTTGGTCATGACTATATATAATAAACTAAATATAAATAAATTGACAAATAAATACTATACAGTATCACAAAACTAAATATATATCAACAAATTAATTCATGTACATGTAATACATAAATTACCTAATTAAAATATACTGATGTGGCTGTAAATATATCAACTGATCAAGAGAATGGGTCAATATGAAAGTGTGGCCTTATTTGGTAGAAAGGAAGAGCCCAGGAAGGGGAGCAGAATGAGGGTGTCAGAAAATAGGGTCACACCTGAGTAAAGGAGCCAAGCTGCTGAGACAGGCCAGGCTGTTGAGAAGAGAGACCATCCCCCATTCACACACGCATGCACACCCACGTGCTCGCACAACACGCTCACACATACACGCAC